ATCTGTGATGATACATTTGCAAAATACTAAATGTTGCAATCTTTAGGCCGCACTGGGTATCTTATAAAAGAACACACCCAGTGTCTAATTCATTTTTCTAGTATGCAAGAAGCACATTCTGTATACATAAAAAGAACCAGTGGATAAATGTCTTTCTGTTGTTATCATCAATTTCTGTCCTTCTCTCGTTCGACAATAAGGAGTCTATGCAACGAAAAAGTGTTCTTTATTCTTCTATGCTCAGCAAACAATAGTAAGATAGTTGGAAAGATAAGCTACGCTCTTGCTCTTCTTCAAATTGCAACCAGTTTCATTATCGCTTTCGATAATATTGCCTGCAAAAGTAAGTACCAAAGACTGGATGCATCTTTTAATTTATCAAAAGCTGAATTCAGGCATGCTAGACAGAAGTTTGTTCTGTAAGAATCGTTGCCGAGTGTTGGTTTTGTTTTTTATTTCGAATGCCGAATTTCTGATTTAAGTTTGCACATTCTTTCGACTTAGAAATACGAATACAAGATATACTTGGTAAAGAAAACTGTCGCATGGCAGCAAAAATCTCATCAATATTTACTGGTAGAAATTTAGTACTGAAAGATTCGATTTTAAGTCTCCAAACTGGTTCTAGCTCGTTATTATTATTTTTTCCTCTAAAAATTCTCACCTTTCAAACTAGAGTGAAGAAAAAGAATACAAGAAAAAAAAATACACACAGAATTAAAGAATGTTCTTTCGTTCAGTGTCGTGCTCGACCGTCAATGAATTCTAGCAGCGAAGCTTTTATTCGGATCCTACTTCCAAGCCACCAAAAGTTTGTTTCGGTGGTCCCATCATTACGTACACGCTGTTCGAATCTTAGCTTCCTCAACGGATGAAAGGAGAACTTGCTAGTGCACGGAAGCGCCGTTTTGTTTGTCTCATTGCTTTGCATAGAACGGAGCATAATTGATAATTTCTGGTGGCCTGCAGTGCTTCTTACAAGCGAGGCTAGTGTAGGTCTTGCGGCATTTTGAGGAAGCAACTCAAGCGTTTCGACTGGAGCATAGCGGTGATAGCTGCTCTTCTGGCATAAGCCCGTTATTTGTGCTCCTCGATGACTGCATGAGATTCGGTAAGGGAGGCTTTAATTGCGCATACTGGTTGATTTTTGTGCAACAATGGCGCATGTGACATTTTTCGCCGTAATTGATAATACTGTCTTGTTATTGCTTGCGAACGAGCATCCTTCGCTGCCGTAGAGGACGACGAAAAGAATACAGACATGGAAGGTGCGAAGTCTGGCAACAATGGAGATCATTTCGCGTGGCCAGGCGATGTGTCCAAGTCTATTGAAAGCAATGGAAGCCTTCGTTAGGTGCAACTTGATCTCCGTCTCGCAGAAAACCTAGTGATAGTTGACAACTGACGTAGCAGAATTTGTTAACGGTTGCGATCGTTTGATTGCGAATGGTGATGTGGATAAAAAGATTGTCAACTTCTTGCCCTTTACGAACTACTGTGTGATCTACTAAAAGGTACGAATGAAGAACTCAAGATGATATTTGCCATCATTGTCTTGCGTTCGGCGGAAGAAATTCTTGCCGTAGTCTAACTTGAAGCAGATAACGTCTGATATAGTCACTTGTTCGATCACTCGACGAATGAAGAGCATAGGAGACGGGATGCCACCTTATAGAACACGTGTCTCAATGTTGAAAGGATTCGAGAGCTCGCGGTTGGTACGTACTCTTGCCTTTGAGGCCTTATAGAAGAGCTGCCACACGCGAACATTTTTCTCTGTTAGCTCATAGTATTTACAAAGTCGCCAGAGGAGCTGCCAGTTGACCGAATCGTAGGCCTTCCGGATGTTGATGAAGCACTTGAGAAAGCACTTGTCGTAATCGCCCGCCTTCTCCATGACTATTTTGAACGTAGAGATCTGGTTGGCGGTATAACTGTTGTCGCGAAAACTAGCTTGCTGCTTGAGTAATTGTTGGTCAAGAAGGGTCTGTATCCGGTTCACGATGACTTCAGAGAAGATCTTGCTTGCAACCGATAAGAGGGTGATGCCGCGGTAGCTGTTGCAGGCCCATTTGTCTCCATTGGTTTTATAAAAACTAATGAACACAGTTGGCGATATATCGTCGAGACTAGGAGTTTTGCCACTCTGTCTCTTTCTGATACCTTTCTTGATTTCTGGCACCAATGGAAGTTAGTTATGGCGGGTCTCTTCACGCTGTGGAATCAAATGGATGGCAATTCGTTGAAACAAGATAGGATCTGAAGTCGACAGGACGTTGAAAAAATTGGAGACGTATTCGTGCTAGTGGATCAGATGATTCTTAGAGTCGGTGAAAAGGTGTAGAGCTTGCCGTGGATAGGTATTTCTTGGACATTAGCGCGATTCCTTTTGAGGTGTTTGATCTCTGCATATGCTGCATTGGATTATATCACTCGGCCGCCTGTTTTTTTTCGAGAAAAGATGGCACTGTGTGTAGTATTTTCGTTCAGACTTCTGGTGCGATGGTTGTGCCATTCTAGGAACTTCTTGACGGAAGCGGAAAAATTCTCGTACTTCTCCGTAATGAAGGCGCCAGATGGGATGAAACTTAGCGTATATGAAAGCGTGGCTTGAAAGGTGATGGTCAGCTCTGACAGCGTCGAATGCACTTTTTTGTTGCCTAGATGTATCCGGGTCATCAAGTGGAGGAGTTTGTGCTCAAAGAAAGTATTAGCAATGACAAAGTCGTGGTACGAGCAAAATTCGACTAGTCATTGTCCGTTTTCGTTGAAGCGATCGGCTGCGTACGATCCGAACACGCTGCCAACTATCCGATGCTGTCGCTTTTCGCTTCTAGTGTTGAAATCGCACATGACGATGGGTATGTCATCACTCGATACCTTATTGACGGCAGCCTGGCGCTCGATGTAAAAGGTGTCAAATCGATCCGCAGCTGTCGACGCTTTAGACAAACCTAGTTGACAAGCTGCTAGGAAGGCTTGTTGTAGTGACGCTGGAATCGTAGTTGAATGTTTTGGTAAGAGATGCTGTATGGATTCGGTTGTTTTGGAGTTTCTGAACAATAAGTTTCCACTTTGCTTGTCGAAAACACGATCAGACGTTTCATTGATCGAAGAACGT